ACTTTTTTCCAAAAACTAGAGAAAATAATCAATCCGCTTGATTCTACCTGTATTTGTAACGGACACATAGGGTCATCCAGACCCACTCCACGGAGTGCCGTGTAAATCAAAACAAACTTTTAATCGACAGGCGGGATATGAAGCATAAAAGTCATGTGCTGGCCACTAAACGACAAGCAACACACCAATAAAATTTAATCTACACCAAACAACAGACAAGCACTCTACAATTTGTTTGCTGTCAGTCGGAAACAAATCATAAGCCGGCAACTGTCACCTTTGTTAAATAAAAGTAGCCAAACTGCTTAAAATGCTACAGAATGGACAGTTTGAACATCATTCAGAAAAGTCTTGATGATTATTAAGACGATAATTTTACATTCAGAATCACTATATCATACACTAAAATGAACCCACCCTTCAACTAATGCATTAGACTACTATATCATGTTGCTGATACAAAATCTAGCAGAACTTATATTCCCATTAAGATAAATTCACAATAAGAGAAACAAAAAAGAAAAAAAAAAAAGAACAAACGACTATAAAATGGTGCCATAATGACAGTCAAAACACAAAAATTCACAAGGATTAAAGCAAATTAATAAAGGAACCGAACATAAGTACATAACAAAGATTTCCACATATGATGTCAAATTATGATACCACTAAACACTAATAAAGGTGAACACCCACAGAACCCACAAAACAGATAACCGAGTCGTCCAAAACCAACAAAATCAAAGTGACAATCACCATCCACACTTACTGTCACTTTTTCATCAAGTCCACAAAAACAGCCTTAGCTAAAATTATATGAACAGAGGTCCATTCCATAGCTCATAATAAAACTACACGGCCACTACCCACTTCTGTGTAGCTTTATATCTCTATCTCTTATTCTATTTTCTGAATCTCGACAAATCCAATAAAGCAAACCCACTAAAATAAATCAAGGTAGCTAGGAAAATTAACATAACAAAATCAACAGAAGATAAATAAGAAAATATTAACAAACAAGTGCAACGCATTTTTCCTTCAGAAAACCATCACATTTGCATAAACTTTCACCAACAAAAATAAATAAATAAATAAATAAATAAAAATAAAAGATAACATGGACTTGCCAGAATTCTAGCGGCGAGGGAGCTGGTAGGTCCACCGCTGGATAGCGCATTGAGTGCCACTTCAGCTGCAGAGTGTTCCGCCTGGCGGAGGGTGGAGCAGTAGCTCGGGCTCTCGTATGTCTCGCCGTTAAAGTTAACGGAGGCCTTGAACCGCGGCGCGTGATCGGGACCTTCCCTGATGCAAGTGTACGACGGCAGATTGAAGCAGCTACGCTGCGCCAGCTCCTGCAGCTGGTTCTTGTACATCTTCACACCAACCCCAAAAATCAAAAGGAAAAAGGAGAAGAAAATGGGCCTAAAAGCACCGGCAAAAGAAAAGGAGCACTTCAAATTTTCA